TTGAATAATTCTTGTTAAGTCCTAAACCATTAAACTGGTAAACATCTTGACAAAATATTCGCTCGCACTCTTAAAAAAAAGTCCTTTTATTCTAACTTTTAATCTCAGTTGTATGGCAAAACATAAAAACAAACACTTTAAAAGTAAATATATAATTAATTTAATTGAAGATTAAAGACCTCTGCTAAATATACAGCACAATTTGCCTGATGTTTTGTAAATCTATTCTCGAATATTTTACAAACTATCCCTACCTAATTTTTAAAACGACTAGTTTTTAAAACGGCGATTTTTAAACGAAGAAATACGTTCCAGCTATACTCAATAATGCTTTTAACAATACGTTTCGGTAAAAAAAATTAGTTGCAGTACATTGCGTTTGACAGCAAAAGAAAAATTAAAAATCTGACTAATTTATTTAAAAGAAATAGAGGATTATTTTTTTTAAATCTACAATTTTCCTATGAAACGCGTATCCTTAAATTACCTGCGATTGGCTTTGAATCATTAATCCCAAAATACTATATTTTTTTTCCACGTAATCCATCACTTTACTAACATAATGAAAAAAACGGTGGCAACAAGGCGTGAAACCATGAAATAACGTTGCGTGAGAAACGTTTTAAGCGCCGACAGACTTGTAAAGTAATTTGACAAGTATTGTTGGAATAAATGCAGTGGTCCGTAAAGTGGACATGTGTTTTACGTTTCTTAAATAAACGTTACGGAAACTTTAATCTCCTGTTACTTTACGAACGAAAAAAGTGACTGAGTCAGTAGGATAATAAGGATATTTAGTTGACAGATCAAGCGATGAAGATAGTATTTCCTAACGTACTTGTTTTGTGAAACCATGAAAATCAGTTAATTAATGCTTATTTTTATATAGTTCTTCAAATTGTATCATTTTAAAACGTTTCTGTATATTCTCACAGAACAATTTGTTCAAAGTTAAACCCCAATATTGATGCCTAGAACCATAATAAAGATAAAACTTGCTGCAACCCCAAGGAAAATATGTTTTCTTTCAAGTTATACAATAGTATCGGGTAATCAAGCTTAAAGAGTGCGATAATAGGGTTCGATTTATCACCATTTTAATGTTGCAACAAATTTTCTGATATAATGGTACAACACAGTTATAAAATTTCGACATTAAGAAAAAAAGCATGGTCGAATACGATAAAATTTACCGTCGGTAATTTTTCCCAGAGTGCTTTGGTAATGATTTTAGTAAAATTAACAATAAAATATTGCTTTAAAATAGGTGATAAAATTTGGGAATTTTTTCATAATACCTTAGAGCAGTGTTTCAAAAACTTATGACTTTTGAGTACCCTTTCTAAATTTTTCGTAACGCTGTGTACCCCTAATAAAGAAATGAATGCATTTTTTACTATAAATAAATTGCACAAAAGTTAAAAATCTCAACTGGCTGCTGACACCACTAATTATTAACTGTTAACTCTGCAAAAAATAGATAATTGAGGAATACGTAATCGTAAATTTTCATGTTTTTAAATAAAAGCAAGTTTGTAGCAAGATATTTCGCATAAGAACGCATACCCCCGCTAAACTGTTCCCGTACCCCATGGGGGTATGCGTACCACACTTTGGGAAACACTGCCTTAGAGCATGACTTGAAAAGCATTTATTAGGTTAAATTTAATTTCTGTTTTATATTTTTAAAGAAATGCGTAGTAATACGAACTATAATTTTGAAAATTAGCATTTCCGATAAAACCATAAAAATAAAAAATTACCAAATGAATGGTTTAAATACCGTTCATTGCGCTTTTATTAATCAGAATTACAGTGAGTGTTTTTAACCAAAAATATCATTAGCATAATTTTACCAGATTTTTTTCCTCCTGTGCTTAAATTTTTGTCATATTACATTAAAACACAGTAAAACAGTTATCGGCCAAGGAGTCACAGAGCGTTAAAGTGCCACAATTTCAAAATCAATGGCATTATGGTGGTAATGTAGTCAGCGTTGTGCACGAGCCACCTTTACTTATCAGATAACTTGCACCTATAAGATAGGCACCCATAAGATAGTTGGGCTTTCCCCAGATAAAACCTGTTATGGTGACTATTACGATAGACTTTTTTTTAATTCGGAGCTAACGTAATCAGAGGTATATGAAAATTATCGGACAATTGAGAGATTAAATACAATTTCTTTGTGTACAATGAGCTAAAAAGAAAGCTTTATCATTCTATATAGTTTTTTTTTATCTGATTATCGGCCTGAGTAATTAAATGCTATCTTAATGATTCCGAAGACATACTCTAAATATGAATAATTCGATTTTGAATTTTAAAAAAAAGCATAAATTACAAGTTAACAGCATAAATTACGAACAAAAATTTATCAACATAAACCATAAGTAGAAGAAAAAAAGTTCATAGCGAATGATGAAAAGATGATGAATGTTGCATCACTTATATTCATAGAATGAGAGATTGATTGATAGATAAATTGATAGATATATTGCAAAAGTGTATGGAATACCAAGCAATGGCTTCGCTTATATGCCGTTTTTTATTAATAATTTAAATAATGATTAAATAAGATTAAATATATGATAAAATATAATGATTAAATATAACCAATAAATCCTATTAATTAAATTTTGAAATACACCTATTTTATGAAGTTCTGATATGGATTTGTCATTTAGTACTGCAACGTACTTTTATTTTAAGTTTCATTTTTTCTACCAATAAGCAAATAAAAATAGACGATCAATTATTTCACTATCGGAAGACGTAAGAAATTAATAGTGTATCAGCTATTTTATGTTGTTAAAATAACTTAAAAATCTATCTTTATACTCTGTTGCAAGATAAGAAAAAACCATTATCCTTATGGAGCGAGCCTGTTTGTATCTAAGTGTACGCCACATGAATACTAAGCGCCCAGCACGAACGTGTATCAACATCGCCAGCAAAACGACGTTGTACAGCCTTGTTTTTTCTTGCTTTCGTAAATCGTGTGAAATAGGGAAAATATAATTTATTGAATAAAAATTATAGTTTTGTTTATAAGAATTAATGAAAATGATATCTAAAAATCGTAACAAATATACATCTATCTTTTCGCATTTAAATAAACTGATGAAAGAATAATAAATATTGTTTCTTGCTGACTATCATCTTTTACAGCGAAGCAAAAGTAAAAAAAGAAATTTATCTTGCATTTGATTAGTTCAAGCATGTCAGAATAAGACGCGCCATATTTAGTAGTCCAATCAAACTCAATGCTCTAGCAACTTCATGTGGTTGTTTCGCTTCCACGACCGAATGTTCTTCTTATTTATTGAAATATGGAGTTAAAATCTAGGATTCCTGTAAGACTGCGAAACTATAAACCTTCTTAAGCAATTCTTAGATATATATCGTAAAAAATAGCACGATTAATAACTAAATAAAACGGAACTATATGCAGCCCCGGATTATTATTGAAATCCTATACAGCAATGGCCTTTTCTTAACTTGCAAAAATATAGTTCTGGATTCACCGAATTGTGAATTTCTAAAACTAATGTGGTATCTAACAGAAAAAAGATCTCATAATTTAAGCGTAAGTAATGCAATGATATAGTTATCAGCCATCTCTACCTTTTTGGCAATATTCAAGATGTCTCTTTCAGGTATCGCCTGAACAAGAACAGCTTGAAACATTTTCCTTTTCCATTTTTTAATTGATAAATGTACCACAAATGTATCATTTACCTGATTAAAAACCAGAATTGTGTATAAAAGATATATTACAGACAGGTAAATAAGATAAAGGAAAAACAATATCGCAATCATATATATTTTGTTAATCATATTATTACGCATTTCAAAATAAAACAACATAAGATTTTTAAAAATTTATAATTGTCATATATTCTGCCATATGGAATTTAAAGGACGAATCAAAGAATAAGAATGATTAATTATAAACAAACCCGATATTTAATTGTTATTAAATAATTGTATCATTCATTTAAACATTTTAAAATTAAATTGATTTACTATAAATACACAAAAAGCCTTTTGTTTACTTGTATTACGTGTTTGTTTATAAGGATTTGTTTACAAGGATTTGTTTACTAAGTAACATTCACTTAATTAAAATATGAAAATCGACCCTAGTACTTTATAGTAACAATTTATAACGTTTCGCTATTTCACAAAAATATTCGATTTTATAAAGATTTAACAGTAAAAGAAAGATTATCGAAATTTTTTTTTGATTTATGAAGTGGCATGAACAAAACAAAAGCAATTTTTAAGGTACTTTATCTTTTCATTTTATAAAAATATATCGAATAAAAGTGAAGTTACTTTTAAAGTAAATATTTCTTTGTTTAAAAATTAACAAGAAAAAACAATGTTTACACTTAAGGCATTTTATCTTATTGCTTACCAAGCAGTATAAAATAAACAAAATTTACTTTTAAGACGCTTTATCTTTTTGTATTGTAAAATAGCATAAAATAAAAAGCTACTTTTATGGAATTTTGTTAGTTGGGGTTTAAGAAATAACATGAAATAAACGAAAATTATTTTCAAATGACCTTATCATTCTGTTTTATAAATTGTCATGAAATAAACATAAGTTACTATTAAAACACTTTATCTTTTTTATACAATAGCATGAAGCAAACAAAATTTCCTTTTAAGGCACTTCAGCTTTTTTTTTCATAAAATATCATAAAATAAATAAAAATCACTTTTAAGGCACTTTTCCACATCATTTTAAAAAGTAATTTGCTGACAAACTAAGTTTCGAAAATTTTAACTGAGTTGAAAAATTATAAAAATAAGAAGAAAAAAAAAACAAAAAACATCCAAACATCGTTTTCAAAATATATATATATATATATATATACTTNTATATATATATATATATATATATATTAACTCTGTGTATTCAATTAAACTTAAAACTGAGAGTGCATTTTTTTTAATATAAGTAATTTAAGCAAGGAAAAAATTCTCACCTGTTATTTTAATTCGAAAAAGAATCATCGCCATCATGATTCTGTTATTTATTTTTATTCTTCCGTGGCAGTAAAACAAATAAACAACTAAACTCAACTCACTCTCATGTGCTTAAGCGAATGTATCCTTCCAAAATGAAAACGATTGTTAACCAGAACCACACTGTTGCCGCCGTACTTTAGGTATGATCATAACATCATAGTTTTTCCCCTATTTGGAGTGAAAACTTGGAAGAGCACGTTTTCGACGAGGTAAGATGTTTGAAAGCGACACCTGTTGGAGATAGGATGCGAACACGTGAATTTTTCAGACGAATTCATGAATAAAACAAATTTTATTTGTAGAATTCCATAAAACTTTCCATTCGAGTCCATTTTTCTTGCAAAAAAAATTTTTTCGCGAAATGTATGGGTTGAAAATCAATATGATAAAACTTGCTAAAATATTCTTTTATTTACTTAACATTTCGACAACATTCAATTGTTTATTCAGATATTTTTAAATTTATTGTGCCTCGAATTTTATATCCTCGAGTGTTTTGTGATTTTTTTCTCATCTTTTCCTCGATTTGTATCCACTGTTATTTCTGAATTCTTTCCTTGAAATTTTCTCAATTTTTATCCCTTGGAATTTTTTTCAATTTTTCCTTGGAATTCCTGAATTTATACAAACGAATTGATCGCGGTTTTTTTCCGTATTTTTTTTCTTTGTGAGTTTGTAAAATGTTTTAAAGACATTTTGACAGTATTCACTTGTTTCTTCAAATATTTCTAAATTTGTTGTGCCTCGAATTTTATATCATCGAGTGTTTTGTGATTTTTTTCCCGACTTTTCCTCGATTTGTAGCCACGGATATTTCTGAATTCTTTCCTTGAAATTTTCTCAATTTTTCCTCGGAATTCCTTAATTCATACAAACGAATTGATCGCAGTTTTTTCCGTATTTTTTTCTTTGTGAGTTTGAAAAATTATGTAAAGATTCGATGAAATCTTCAACTGTGAGTATTGTATATTAATAGCGTAAAACTTTAGAACGTTGGATTTCTTTTTTACTGTAATTATACTATCACGATGAGTTTTTATTAAATAAATACTAAAACACCGTCTTTTTCATCTCAACTAACTGTTATTTATTTTTTTTTAAATTTAAAAAGTATCCTAATAAAACCTATATTATTGCTATTACAGGTTTTTAAATTTAGTAAATCGGGAAAAAAAGTATCTACCTGTAGTTTACTGTTGTCATTCTTGTTATGAAGCTCCCTACTTTCATCATCGATCATGCACAGATAATAGCATAACTAACAATTTTATTCACTATTTAAAATATAAATAAAATATACAAAATTATTAATTATTTTATTATTATTATTAATAATAAGCGAAATAGGGCTTGTTTGGGTGGATCTAATTTATTTTAAATTCAAAATTGTTTGTTAGGGTCCTGAATTTCGAACTACGGTTGCAATAAGAAATTTTTAACCCTTTGTAACCCAACAACTCTGATTTAATAAATATTTACGCTGATGTTAGAATACATCATATTAAGCGTGAAAAAAATAATGAAAAAATTAAGACCTTAAAATTAAAAATTTCTTGATAAAAAGCATTTGTTGAACATCTCCAATATCGTGAAAAATAGCACAGGAATTCCAATATATTTAGAACTTTATGTAAAAAAATTTGAAATTGTTGTTTTTATGGTAACAAGGTCTCACACCACATTTTTCAGTCCCTCCTTAACCAAATATACAATCAAGGGGATTGTTGTAAAAATATTGTATATCCTGCAATTATGTCGTGGAACAATTCTTGCTAAACGCATTATAATATTGGCAGCTGCACCAAGACTTGGTTCCCTCGAGTTTGCAATATTTTCTTTACCTGAATTTAGTTCGATTTTATAGGTAAATCCACCTCATTATAGGATTGAATTTTCATGTATGTTGCAGATATGTAACGCGGTGATATGTAACGCGGGTTAACTTGGATCCTAAAAATCCTTAAAAAACTTATAATAATTCCGTTCGTGACAACCGAATTTTTCGAAAATGACTTGCACAGTTGAAAATTAAACTACAAATGATTCTTTTTGCTTTTCTTTTTTTTTGTCAGTTACTTTTATAGCATCAGTGTCGTTAGTTAACGTGCAGCTCTATTTAATTAATTTTTTTTTGCACTCTTCAATAATTATTAGTTTATTGTGTCAGGTATTCACAAAATAAATAAACGTTTTAAATGTGTATGTGAGAGGGGACATCATTTGCTATGTACCAAGAAAAGTTTTAAAGCGCTAGTGTAAAAGTGTTAAAGCGCCAAATTAGTATTTTTTAACAACAAGTATATTTTATATGATGTTAACATTTGAAACATGCTTCTATAATCCAAAATTATGAAAACTCAACGGTTATTAAAATAGAAAATACATTAAAACTATGCACTGAAGTGTACTAAAACTGTGTAATAAAGTGCATTATTAATGGGGTAAATTGCTAGGTTGTATAATAAAATTCCGACGGAGCTCTCATTGAGCAGTAGCATCATTTTTGGTGCAGAATGATACTAAGTATAGTTAATTTTTATTTTGATGAACTGCATTCCTAAAACGTTGTTTTGTTTAATCTAATAATGTAAAATCACCGGGAAGGGCAACAAATAATAAAAATATTGAAATATTTAATTCTTTATGGGGTTGAAAGATACCGTTCAGTTTTACTTATTATTGCGTAGTACGTTATGCTGATTAATACTGTTCTATTGATTATTTCGACACCCGGTAGCTGAGTGGTAACGCTTTGCGCTCTCGTGTCACAGGTCGTGGGTTCGATCCTCAGGCTGGAAAAGATTGACTCAGCCTTTTATCCCTTCAGTGGGTCTATAAAATGAGTAGCAAGCATGCTTGGGGACTAAGCACTAGGCATTCCGAGTTAGGCCGACCTCCCAACCGCTCCTGCACCCCAAAGCCCAAGGTCAAGAAAACTTAGATGGGCACAGTAGGTTTTGGCTCTCTATGGGCTATCGTGCCACTGATTATAATCATTGTATTTATTATTTAATTTTTTTATACGCTGTACAAAGAGCAAGTTCTCTTCTACACTGTACGAAATTCCGGATCAAATTATGATAAAAAAGATGTTTAGCACCCTGGGTGCATCATTGGTAAAATCTATTTTACCATAAAATTTTATACAGTAATTATTACAGTAATATTTAATTATTTACAGTGACTCAGTTATTTTACCGGAAATATTACTGCGAAAAAATTATCAAATTTTTTTGTTCCGTAAAATTTTACGGTAAAAAGTACCAGCAGCCTGAGTGCCGGTACCTCTCATCGTAATTTGATCCCGAATTCTTTTACAGTGAAGTATATATGCTAAATGTGAACAAGTAATTTGGTTGGAAAATAAGCATCTTCAAAATTCAAAATTTTGCCAAAATTAGGCAGTATTTGGCCTTTCATCAATTATTGCCTCACTTATTTTTGAAAAAGAATTACAATAATAGCATGACCAATTCATAACCATATGGGAAATTCATTTATGTAAGTGTGAGTCGTAAACTATTAGGAGCTTTCCTTCGTTTTTATGAAGCATTTATAAAATACTCATTTACGGATCATTGGAATCAACTTTCATGACGTTTCGTCTACTTAACCCATTATTTTTTAAGCTTGTTGTCAGATTGTATATTACTGTGAGTTGATGAAAAGCTTAGCGTTTCAATTTTATCAAGCGGTTATATTTTTTCAAGGTGCTTGAAAGTTACTTTTAATTATTTACTTATTGACAATGTTATAAAAAATTATCATGATGTTTCATTGCTTATTTGAGCAAGATTTAAGTCAATTCAGCTTACTTCTGTACTTCAGTATTGTAATAACTCAAAAATCAAAAAAAAGGACCAGGTTTTACCGAACAAAAAGGAATTACGGACATCAAAATTGAAAATAGAATTTTAGGATTCTACAGTAAATTCGTTTAATTTTAAAATTGATCGAATGCCAATATATTTAGTTAATTTAAAAGGTTTAAAAATTAGTAGACATTTTTTTTTTTAATTTAAAAATCGGGACAATAATTTTTTTTAATTTATTGTTCTCAAGAAGTGATTCTAAAATTTAATTGAAAACAAATTATTATTACTCTCGAAACAGGTACACGGAGAAGAAAATTCTGGTTAAATTACTAAACTGTATGGTAATATCATTTCTGGTTTAAAAAAATTAATTTAAAAAAAACCTACTTTTGTACATATTTTATGGTATTTAAACCATTCAATTGTTACTGTTCAAATGATAACGTTTTACCAGAAATTCTATTTTTCGAAATTATGGTCAATATTATTACACATTTAGTAAAAAGTACAAAACTGAAAAATAAATTTAAACAGAGGTTTTCTTTACTTTTTTTGATGCTCTAAGATATCATGATTAAATTACCAATTTTTAGCCCATCTACCAAATTTTAGCGTCTCTACAAATTCTATTACATATCATAAACCATATATTATTGTTAATTTTACTCAAGCGCTGTTGTAAAATTTATCGATTTTTTGGTATACCCATAGATCCCGAAACATGGTTAGTTTTAGCATATGTAATATGAGTTGCTATCAATGTCTTAGTAATCAAAGTTATAGGTCAAATAAACTTTATCCTTTTACTGATAAACCGTTTTAAATAAACTTTATAAAATTAGAGTTCCGATAAGATTTATATTTAATAATATATTTATAAACCTGCACTGTTAGAATTTTTATTTTAAAATTACTATAAAATAACCGGTAGCGATCTGTACATATAATCAACCGTAAGATTTGCTGTAAAGGACATTTTTAACCTTCACGGTTTAGAAACTGTTTATAGCTAATATGGTTTAAAAAAACATGAAGGTTTACGGTTTTTAAACCATTTACATCTAGCTTGATTTCAAAATCATAAAAAAGAAATTTAGCTGCACATTGGAGCTAGTATTTTCGTTAGGTAGTGGGCATTGGAGTTATGTTGTGGTTGAGTTGTGTTTTATCAAATAAACCGTGGAAATGTGGTTTAATTAGCTCATCTGGTTGCTTCACATATCGTAAGAAATGGAAAATACTAGACTTTTTCATGCTTGGGCTAAGTAGCGTTATGGTTCTGCAATCTCAGCTTGAATGAGAGTATCATATTCTGTAATAGATCAGGGTCACAAATTGTTGAGTACAGGATACTGGTAACTCTTTTTG